CAGTATTCATTTGTTAAAGCCAAAATATAGGAAATAAGTATACCAAACAAGTACACTAAAGTATCTATTTATTTAAGCCAAAAGTATTTATCTAACTTGTGAAAGCCTTTTCACTGGTGACTAAAAAAACAAGGCAGAGTTTTTGCTCTTACCTCAATTAACCAGGAAAATGAAATTACACAAACACATTCTAGTCATTACACCTTTACTGTAACACTGTAATRGTGTAATAATGATTTGGTACAAAAGGAAATAAAAACAAAGATATGGGGTTCATATGAAATAAAGAGGGAAAACACACAGAACAGGAATGACTATGAATTACCTCTTTCTCAAGATACGACAATACTGATTCTGTCTCATTCAGAAGAGCAACACTGCATTTTCCCCTGTTGAAAGATAAAAACATGAATAAGTGTCAGTCTGTCATCAGTTACCTTCACAGTGATGGCACATGCAAAGCCAGGARGACTAAAAGGCAGGAGTAGGATTAAAACTAGATGGCAGTTTTGAAGTTCTCCTTGAAAAATTGAATTAAAAAAAAAAAAGAAAGAAACTAGATGGCAGTTAGGAGTATATTTAAATGCATATATTTAGACCACTTATACCTGCTTTTCAACGCTAGTGCTGGGTAACCTATAAAAAGGGGCTGACTTTGTAGGTATTTAGAGAGATCAGGCCATGACAGAAACTGTATGAGTGATAAATATTAACAACATGGAACATTTTATTTCCTAATTAATAATGGAGGGAAGTGGATACAAAGACCTCAGACTGAGTTTCTTAATCTATAGATAGATATTACAAGGTAARTTTATACAAGAGATCTTCAGACAAAAACAGCACTATACAAACCAGTGACTAAAATAATATTCAGGGCTGGGGATGTGGCTCGAGCAGTACCACGCTCGCCTGGCATGCGTGCAGCCCGGGTTCGATCCTCAGCACCACATACAAAGATATTGTGTCTGCCGAAAACTAATAAATAAAATTCTCTCTCTCTCTTAAAAAAAATGTTCCTTTCCTATGCTTTAAAAAATAAATAAATAAATAAATAAATAAAATAATATTCAGATTTCTTAAGTAGACACTCCATATAAGAGTCAAAAAATAATATACCTTCATATAAGGATATATACTAATTTACCTTTATTGAAACTGCTCTACAGACTAGTTAAAATTTAAACACAAGAAACTTCCAATAGAATAAGAGACAACATAAAGATCCWTAAATTCACAAACCCTGAGGTCTGGAAGTATTTATTTTTCTTTCTTTTTGGGGCGTGTGTGTGTATATGTGTACACGCGCTGAGAACTGAGCACCGCCTTATGCCTGATACACCCCAGCTCTGGCACTTACTTACCTTTGATCAGAAGCCTGGACCTGACTTCAGATATGAAAATCTATTTTAAAAAGGCTTGCCTACACTTCAAGAAAAACTAAGATTATCTAGGTAGAAGTATTATTACAACCATTTATAAAAATTATTCTCACCAGCTTCAAAATTTTACTCTATCTCCAGATCTGCTGGGAAATTCTGACGAATTATTCATGTTAGAAGCAATGATTAGGGTTTACAAAGTATCTTTGGGTGGGAGCTGGCAAAAAATATCTTCAAATGTCATAACATCAGACTGTCGATATAGTTCAGGGTAGAGAGCTTGCCTCACAAGCAATAACCTGAGTTTGATCCTAAGTACCACAAAATTAAACACACACACACACACACACACACAAAGAAAAAAAAACACTAAAAAAATGTCATAATATCATTTAATTTTTTCTAAAAAAAGAAAAGAAGAAGTTACAACAGCCTCAAAAACCAACATGCAAAAATAAATACACCGGGGCTGGAGATACAGCTCAGCTGGTAGAGTACTTGCCTTACATGCACCAGGCCCTGGCTTCAATCCCCAGCAACACACACACACACACACACACAAAATACACCACATATACATTAAGCAGGAAAGAAGAACAGATGCTTTTGGATTACAAAAGTACAATTCAAAGTAAAACAACTAGTGGGCTGGGATTATGGCTCAGCGATAAAGCGCTCACCTACCATGTGTGAGGCCCTAGGTTTGATCCTCAGCACCACATAAAAATAAATAAATAAAATAAAGATGTTGTGTCCAACTACAACTAAACAATAAATATAAAAAAAGTAAAACTACTGAGAGCAAAGCAAAATACCAAAATTAAACTAACATATTGATTAAAAGGTACATTTTCTAAGAATTCTCCAACTCTATAATATGATATTACACGTTATACTAGTGAATCTCTTTTTTGGTTCCTGGAAGAGTTATAAGGATTTCTATTTACCTAATATATTTTATTCACACATTATTAGTGAATGCATAAAAATCAGCATTATTCCTTCAACACATATAAGTCAACACACACCTGACAAGTCAACACACACCAAGTCAACACACAACTGACATTCCCTTACAAGGGACAGAACCACATACAGAGACATTACTCTGGTGCATCAGCACATCAACAGAGAACTTCCATGTGCTTACACATGCAGCATGCTGAGGCAATAAGTAGAATTTCTGAAGAGTCTGAAATACTTTTTTTTTTTTTTGCTATACTGACAAAGCAATATTTTTAACATTAATTTCATGAAGTAACATTTAATACTGAATCATGTTTGGATATGGTGGTGTACTCCTTAATTCCAGCAACTTGGAAGGCTGCGGAGGATTGCCAAGTCCAAGGCCAGCCTCAGCAACATAGCAAGCAACCCCCTCAGCAATTTAGAGGGATCCTGTCTCAAAAATAAAAAAAAWWAAAARGACTAGGGATGTCGTTCAGTGGGTTCTAGCTCCAGTATCAAAAAAACAATTTTTTTACTTTTTCTTTGTGCCATACCAGACTTACTGAATCCCATTCTCTTGGAGATGGGTCCAGGAACCTACACAATTAATAAGTATGACCACAGTGATCCCTACGTGGCCTAACTTAAAAACCAACTTCTGGCTGAGAGTGAAATTTACATGCTTGGCATATGCAAGGCCCTGGATTCAATCCCCAGTACCACAAAAACAATAAAAAATAACTCCTGTAGATGTAGAAACAGACTTTAAATTTTCCATGTTCAACAAAAGCCATTATTTCTTCATTTTTTAAAAAAGCCATTTTTACATTGGCTCTCTGAGTTTTAAATTTGCCAGAAACTCTGGATTCTGAACATTTTTCATATAAAGAAAAATCTCAAAATACTACATACTGTGATTGGACATTTAAAGAATAGACAAGTTTCATCCAGCATTTGGTCCCCTGAATACAATGAACAACCAAACAAAAAAATGACAAAGTTCAAAGATCAAAAATGCTTTCAGAAAATTAGAGATCACAACAGAAACACTTTAAAATGGACTAAAGGGGAAAAGTCAAACATCAGAGGAAAATGATTTCCAAACCAGAACTGTGTATCTAAACAAATCCTGAGCCAAGGGTGAAATACATACACATTCAGATATGCAAGCAGTAAAAAGTTTTACATGTTGGAAAATCAAAAAGAAAAGGCAAAACAATGATAACTCCAAAGAAAAGAAAAGGTTATACAAGAAAGAATATGTAAGAATATTTACATATTCATAACATAAAAATTGGTTAAGTTAAAAAAAAAGTCATGGAAATTCTGGAAACACAGGGAAAGGAAATAGGAAAAAGAAGTGAAATTTCTAAGACTGAAAAATTAATAGTAGCAATTAGATTGATAAATACAGAAGAGAAATGATTACAGAGTGGGAACAATCTTGTATATTATTAGACAATTATATATTTAATTTTTTTTTAGATAATAAAATTAAATTTAAAATGAAAGGGGGATCTTAACTAGATAAAGTACAAAGAACTGTATGACTACTACACCGAGGGACCAAGGACAGCTGACAATGATGACTCTACATCAGGCCTTCTTGGATCCTAGCACTACAGCCAGGGTTGTGCATCCCTGGCCTTTCCCTACTAGATGACAGTCATACCTTCTCACCCCGTTTTCATACTTGTTAATGAATAGAAACGAAAATGAGACAACTGGCTCTTGTAAATAGGTAAAGTGGAGGAATGAAAAGCCAAAAAAGAGAAGTCTCAATTAATATAACAGGTCTGTGGTTTTCTGAAGAAAAAGGAATAACATGCAGTGTTTTAGGGCCGGGGATGTGGCTCAAGCGGTAGCRCGCTCGCCTGGCATGCGTGCGGCCTGTGTTCGATCCTCAGCACCACATACCAACAAAGATGTTGTGTCTGCCGAGAACTAAAAAATAAATATTTTTTWAAAAAAATTCTCTTTCTAAAACAAAAAAAAACAAGCAGTGTTTTAGGAAGCCCATTCTGTCCGTAACACGGAAAATACTGACTTGATAACAAATATGAAAGAAACTGTCAAAGAGGAAACAAGAGGATAAAGACCTTCTCTTGATGCTACCCTTCCCTTTCAATAAGACTATCCTGGGGCTGGAGCTGTAGCTAAGTGKCAGAGCGCTTGCCTAGCTCATGTGAGGCACTGGGTTCCAACCTTAGCACCACATTAAAAAAAAAAAAAAAAATCAACAAATAAAATAAAGGCATTCTGTCCATCTACAACTACCAAAAAGTTAAAAAAGAAGAAGAACCATCTTRCAAGAAGTGGAATGTTCCAGAGATACCAATAGAAGTAGGAAGATAGACTCTCATCTCCAGAACAGAGTAACAAAGACACTGTTCTTTGTTTTGTTTTTTGTTTTTTTGGTGCTGGGGATTGAACCCCAGGTCCTTGTGCATGAGAAACAAGCACTCTACTGAGCTATATCCCCAGCCCAAGACATTGTTCTGACAGCGGAAAAATCTTAGTCCCACAACACGTGGAACACCAATACTGATGACAATATGTTGGAYACGCTTTGCATGCAACCCAGTCCTCCTCTGCACTGTGATGCGAATAAGAAACACTTCAATCCACAAGCCACTAAGATGTCAAACGAAAGATTATGTAGGAAAACACAATCTTCAAAAAAAGCATGCTAAGAGCTGAGGACAAAGCTCAGTCAGTAGAGATCTTGCCTAGCATGCACAAGGCCCTAGGTTGGATCGTTGGTACTGCTGCTTTTAAAAAAAAAAAAACAAAAGTGTGTGTGCTTAACTAGTAAACTAGTAGACTTTAATTTTCTTTTCTTTTTTGTTTTTGAACTGTGACATGAGTTTTCTTTACTTACTATATTTTCCCTTCAGTCTTCCTTCTACTAACAATCCTAAGATCCTAATAGGCATACTAAATAACTTCCTCATGCTGAATTCATTTTTTGAGTAGCACTATGTATATTCACCCATGGGTACCAGATTGGCTAATTCAAATTTTGTTTACAGATTACAAAAAATAAATTACAAAATTTA